AAGAATGGTTTTAAAAAAATTTTCAATTTAGGTGAAATTTCTAAAACACAACTTAGGCAGCTTAAAGTATAAACAATTTCTATTTATGTATATACAGCTGATATTTAGTACTTTTCAGTGTTGGGCAACCACTACTTCTAGGGTGGATATATAATTGATTATTGTTATTTGTTGTAGTTCCAGATTATTTAATCCCAAAGCCTGTTGAATTGAATAAGTCATCACAACCATCCATCTAGTTTCAGATTGTAAACCTATTTTCAGTGCAATAGGTAAGGCATAAGCCATGAGAGATCCTATTAAATTTCCAGCAACACTACATTAGTGAATATAAAGTCATTCCTCCAGGAGAAATAAGAGACTAGATTCCTATGAGACTCTAGCTGCAACATTTTTATCTGCTGATCAATACATCTTATTTAATGTGTATTTCTGCTTAATGAAATCTTATTTAATGTATTATGTATTGTTGGTTCATAAACATTGTACTCATGTAAACAGTACTGTGTTTGAAAGAAACTTATTTAACACATTTATTTTCTCTGAAGGACATACTAAAGTCTTCTTACATTTGGGAAACAATATCCAACATTTCAGTAATGTGCTTGAAAGGCACTTTTAAACTCAAACTTACCAACAAAAAGCACAAAAGTGTGAAAATGTGGCACTAAAGAGACTGTGAAAAGGGTCCTTGTTTACAGTACAAAGCTAAAAAATCTAGAATATTGCCTTGTTAAATCATAATTGGGACTGTGCAGCTGACTTGTATTTTTATCCATTTTAAACCTGTTTCACAACAGTGAAAACACTACAGATGCTGGTTTAGAGGTTACACATTTTCACTAGTAGAAAAATTCACAAGTATGGAGTTTATGAATAATGAGGATAGACTGTATTTTTAGCAATCTTTTAAAAAATTATTTTCAGAGCTTTTATTTTGTTCAAGATTGAACCAAACATTTCTGTTTAGCACTAATTCCAGTTTCTTCTTTTTCTCAGGTATTTACTGAAAGCCTTTTGTGCTCCAGTCACCTTGAAAATATCCACCTGGCCGGGCAGATGATGCATTGCACTGCCGGCTCAATAAATCCACCAACTAGTATACCCCATAAAGGGAAAACCCAGTACAGGGTCAGTTATGAAAAAAGTATTGACTTGGTTTTGGCTGCCAGCAGAGAGTATTTCAATTCTTCCACCAACCTCACTGATAGCTGCATGGATCTAGCCAGGTAGAGTAACTGTTTTCTCTTATGGGAGGGAGAGGGAAGTTAGAATACATGCTTGACTCAGTTGTTGCTTTTGTCCTTTCCTTTGCAAAGTGATTTCACGAGTACTGATTAAATTATAGAACACAATCATTATTGTGTAAATATAGAAAAAAACCAATTCTAGATATTTATCAATTTGCCCCTAACTTCTGTCCATTAGGTTTTTTCTATCATTCTTGCTGCTTTCTGTAAGATTAGATGTCTTTTCTGGTAGAAGAGTTTCTGAAGATAGTCTGGAAATTCAGGCTCTGAAAACCACATTAGGGTGCTGTCTTTCTTTTTTGCAAGATTTCTCTCAATATTTAAAGAACCTGAAAAAAGTTCTTCTAGGTTTCATGGTTCCTCCTTAGCTTGTTATGCTGCTATTTTAGTCCAGTCTTGTTTAAGCCTAAACAAAATGTGTCCGATGATCTGAATGCTTATATTTAGGAATACAAAATCACAATTTTCTAGCAAACTTTCTTCAAGAATTAAAATTAGTTTTTATGACGTTAACTTGTATAAAATTAAAAGTTCAATAAAAATTGATCTAAAGGAATGTGGTAGTCACTGCCATACTGATGAACCATAAAATCTTCAGAAACATAACCTTACTGATTCAAAGTTCCAAAAGTTAAAAATATTTAATATTTTATCTTTTTTGAATTTTCTTTCACATGCTCTTTGACCAATATGCTTTTCTTATCACTTGGTATTACCCAATTTGTTTTTAATTTACATGTATTCCATTTCATAAAGAATCCTTGTAGCTCAGTGATAAGACATTTGCTATTAGTTAAAAGATTTGAGATTTGAACTAACCAGCAGCTTCATTGAGGGAAGTCCTGGCACTGTGCTCCTATAAGGACTGTTGTGTACCTTCCAGTTGGTCAGCACCAATTAATAGCTGACGCTCCAGTGAGTTTTCCAAGTCAGTAAAACTCACACGAGGACCTGACCCCTTTTTCTCTTGTGGAATTGCTAGTGCATTGGAACTGTGTGCCTTTAGGTTAGCATGCATCTCCTTACCACTAAACCACCAGAGACCCCTCTTTAAGGATTTGTTGTTATTAAGTGCTGTCTAGTTGAGCATGACTCCTAGTGACCCTGTGAGGAAAATATCTGAACCCTGTTTTGTCCTGTGCTAGCCTCACACTTCCTGACACACAAGAGCCCATTGTAGCCGTCACTATGTCATACCACCTCGTTGAGGGTCTTCCTCTCCTCCTCTCACCTCCACCCTTTCCAGCATCATGTCGTTCTCCATGGAATAGCACCTCCTAGCAACATGCCTGAAATATGTGAGTGAAGCCTCATTGTTCTTGCCTCCAAGGAACACTCCAGCTGTACCATCCCCAAGACATCTGTATTTGATCTCTTGGCTGTCCATGGGATGTTCAGTGCTCTTCTCTGTCACCACAGCTCAAAGGTGTCCATTCTTTTTCTGTCATCCTTATTCATTGTCCAGGTCTTGGATGCATGTTGTTGTTGTTATGTGTCGTCGAGTTGCTTGCGACTTATAGCGACCCTGTGGACAACAGCCCTCAACCCTGCTCTATCCTGTGCCAATCTCACTGCCTTTGACACAACCATCCCAATTTCCCCAGTCACTGAATCAATCCACCTCATAGAAGGTCTTCCCCTTCTGCGCCGTGCCTCCAACCTCCCAAGCAAAATGTCCCTCCCCAAGGACCTCGCCCTCCTTACAACATGCCCAAAGTATGTCAGACAAAGCCACAGAATCCTTGCCTCCAAGGAGTAGCCTGGTTTAACCCTCTCCAGGATGAATCTGTTTGTTGTCTTGTCAGTCCATGGTACAATCAATACTCTTCTCCAGCACCACAGCTCAAAAGCATCAATTCTCCTTCTTTCCTCCCTAGTCATTGGCCAGCTGTCTGATGCATAACAAGTGATTACAAACCATAGCCTGTATCAGATGTACCTTAGTCTCCAGAGTGACACAATTGCTCTTCAGTACCCTGGAGAGGTCCCTAACAGTGGACTTTCCCATCGCAATACTTTTTTTAATTTCCTGGCTGCTGGTGCCAAGAGTGTTTACCGCGGAGCCAAGCAGACTAAAGTTGTTAACAGTCTCAATCTCTTCACTATCCATCCTGATGCTGCCAGTTGGTCCACTGGTGAGAATCTTTGTCTTCTTGACATTGAGCTTCAATCCATACTGAAGGCTGCAGTCCTTGACCCTCTGCAGCAAACATTTCAGGTCCTCCTCAGTTTCAGCAAGCAGGGTTGTGTCATCTGCATAACACAGATTTTTATAGATCTTCCACCAATCCTGACACCACACTTCTCCTCATAGAGCCCAGCCACTCCGGTAATCTGTTCGGCATACAGGTTGAAAAGGTATGGAGATAGGACACATCCCTGGTGTACGCCTTTCCCAATTTTGAACCGTGCAGTGTTTCCTTGCTGTGTTGTGTTGACTGCCTCTCGGTCCAAGTATAGGTTTCTCATTAGAACGATCAAGTGTTCTGGGATTCCCATTCTTCTCAGAGTCAGCCACAGTTTGTTATGATCCATGCAGTCCAATGCCTTTGCATAATCAATGAAACACAGATAGACATTCCTCTGGTATTCCCTGCTTTCAGCTAAGATCCATCTAACATCAGCTACAATATCCCTAGTACCACGACTCCTTTTAAACCCAGCCTGGACTTCTGGCAGTTCTCTGCTGATGTGCTGTTCCAGTCGTGTTTGGATAATCTTCAATAAAATCTTGCTTGCATGTGAAATAAATGATATCGTTGTATAGTTTCCACTCTCTGTTGGGTCACCCTCCTTTGGAATGGAACAAAATATATGCATATCTAGTAATTATAAAGACTATGGCCTGAATCAGTTGTACCTTACTCTTCAAACTGACATCACTACTCTTGTCACTTCACTGTGTGGATCATGACCGGTTGTGGCTGTATTGAGAAGAATGGAAATCCCAGAGCCCTTGATTGTGCTCATGTGGAACCTATACCCAGACCAGGAGACTGTAGTGCGAACAGAGCAGGGGAGCCCTGAATGGTTTGGAATTGGGAAGAGAGTGCTCCAGTATTGTAGGCTCTCTTCGTACCTATTCAGTCTGCATGCCAACAAATAATCTGAGAAGCTGAACTTTAAAGATTCCAGCCCAGGAAACCCTGTATAGCGCTTCTGCTGTGTCCAGTAGGGCTGCGGTGCATCAGTAATTGCATGCACTGTTGTTGTGCATGTCTCTAAGACAGCCAAAACTCATAGAAACCCTATGAACAGGGGCACTGAGCCCTTCCCTGTCTTGTACGATTAAATTAAGACACTAAAAAGCAGACCTGGTTTGGTTTTTTTTCCTTTGTCTGACATCTTTGTAGGACTCTGCTGTACTTTTCTTTGTGAGGAGATAAAGAACAAAATTACTTTTAGGAAAAAGATGTTTCGTTTTCTCTTATAAATTATTTTTCTTCACAAGACAAAGGGCAATTTTACTTAAGGCTTGACTTTCATATATAATCTCTGACTTTTTAAAGAAAGCTAGAATTCTTTTTTGTCTAAAATGATTCCTGGCAAGTTACTTATTCGATTTTTGTTACCGCATCCCATTTCTCAATACCGAACATTTTCTTTTTATTATATATTTTCAAAATTTTAAGTAACACTTTTAAACATTCTGCATTTATGACTGAATTGTCCATTTATTTAAATGAAATTAGATATTTTGAGCCTACTTTTTCTGAAATTGTTACATTAAATCAAACAAACAGTAACAACCAGACCCATTCTCATGGAGGTGATTTTGATTTCTTGCTACCCTTTAGGACAGAGTGTAATTGCTCCCTAGGCTTTTGAAGGCTGTAAATCTTTCTAGAAGTACATAACATCATCTTTCTCCAGCATTTATGTGTGTACTTTTACAAAGATAAAATATTGTTTTCATTTGTTTTTACTGTCTTTTTCAACTGCTTCTTTGCAAATACAGATCTTCTTTATTGTATAATTTTTAATCAGTATTTTTCAGTGACAGGACAGAAATGAAGCTAGAGATAGAATGATTTAATTTTGCACAATCAATGACTTATTAATTGCAAATACGTTTTTTAAGAGAAATAAACGTAGAGTATACACATGGATTTCATCTGATGGTATGCATAGGAATCAGATCGACTACATCTGTGGAAAAAA